TGGATCCATCTGTGAAAAAACAACAGTTGGAACCCTCGAGTTTCTTAACCAGCGAGTCAATCATGGCCTTCCCTTGTGGTGATGAGCTGGCAGCTATGCCCTCAGCAAATGAGACCCGGGCCTGATGAAAGGAAGTCCTGTAGGGGTAACTGTATATCAGGGGTTTATCGGAGTGGGCAATAAGGTGATGCAGAGGTTCAATTTCCTTGTAGCACGTGAGAATTAGGGGCTCTTGTCCAGTGTGAATCCTGGTGGGATGCATCCTAGTGTCTGCTAGTTGTGATATACAGGCTAGTAGCAGATGATTTGAGAGGGTGTAGATTCTGGAGATGTAGTTGTCACAGAGTAGTTTACATCTCATGACCAGGGGTGGAATCCGTGCTTCTGCCTGGGTTACATCTGTGGGTGTGGATGTCATATATACCATAGCTAGCCGAAGAGCTTTACATTGTATACATTCCATGGAGGTGGTTCCTGTGGCATTTAACGGAGTGAAAAGATGTGAACCATACTCAATTTGAGACCTCACTAGGGCAACATATAGGCGTAGTAGGATAGATGGGTCAGTTCCTATCCATGTTGAAAGCAAGTAGCTGATAATAGTCAATGGTTTGATGCATTTGGATCTGATGTAGTCGAGGTGTTGTTTCCAATTAAGCAATGATTCGAATAATATTCCCAGAAATTTCACCACTGGCACTGATCTGCATGCGGCGTTGCCTATAGTTACTTCCCAGTGGGCAGTTCTTATGGTTCTATAGTTAACTGAAGAGGCAATATTGACACTTGTCGGGGGCTAGTTTTAGCCCGCTGTTCTCTAGAAAGACGTTCATTGTACCAATGTCTTATGTGAGCTTAGTGGAAATGATTTTGGGATCATTGTTAGAATAGAAGAGGGCGATGTCGTCAGCAAATGGGAGTACGGTGCAGGGGTCTTGCATGCTCACGTTGAGGGGCGTCATGTAGAGGGCAAAGAGAATCGGGCTGAGAACACTACCTTGAGGTAGCCCCCGATACGCCGTTCGTACAACATCCAGGTTGTCGTATCGGAGGTAGAGGAATCTTTCGGAAACTAAATTGTAGATGAAAGCTAAAAAGTGGCAAGGGAGGTTTGTGAGTTTCAGTCTTTCGATGAGAACGTCGGCCAATACGTTGTCAAAAGCACTTTGGATGTCCAGAAATATGGCACCCAGGTGTCGATTCAAGTTGAACGCATTGATTATGTCCAGGTAAAGCACAATGGCGTTATCCAGGCATGATTTGTTCTTATGGAAGCCGAATTGTAGTGGGGGTAGTAGGTGGTTGTATTCCAACCACCAGTTTAATCTCATGTTGATCATTTTTTCCATGATTTTGAGAAGGCAAGCAGCCAGCGAAATGGGTCTCACTTTTCCTTTATCGGGTTTAGGGATGAAGAAGATGGAATACTGTTTCCATTCAGTTGGAAAGGATTCAGTCAAATAGATGTCGTTATAGAGTCTTAGAAGCAGGGGTTTGATCGTGTCTGGGAGAGAGCGAATGACTAAGTAGTCAATTCCATCAAGGCCTGGGGATGACTTAGGGTTAGTACTTAGGATGGCTGCTTCTAATTCTTCCTTAGTAAAGGGGTGATCCATGAATGGGTCTTCATAGTCGTTTTTCAAACATGGCGGTTTTACTGAGGCCCAAGGGGGGCACAGTGTTTCTATTGCTGTTTCAATAGTGTGAATCCTCTGCACGTTGTATTCATTCGACTGAGGGGTAGTGTTCCAGGCGCGCTTAAGTCCAGCTAGTTTCCTCCATATGTAAGATTGATTAGTGAAGCGGTTGAGGGAACAACAGAAGTTCCGATAGTAGTCCCGTTTGATTCTGCGTATGTCAGATCTCGTCTTAGCTTCGATTTTCTTGTACTGGAGAAAATTGTCTCTCGATGGGTACTGCTGGAGGCGTAGGAGTGCTCTTTTTCTAAGCCGAATAAGTCTGTTGCAGTCTTCGTTCCAAAATGGTGCTGGGTTACGGCGTTTGTAAGATCCTTGATTGTTAGTAAGGTTGGTATTCTGTTTGTGGTTTCTCGTGTTGTGGTATTTTCTCCCTGGTGTGGCCTCCATGACCACGGACGTTATAGTAGCTGCAAAGGTGGAGTAATTAACCTGGGTGTCGGTATCTGGGTGTAAGATAGTTGCTTCGAGGGCATCTAAGTTGCAGGAGATGTTGGAGATGGCCTGTTGCCAATTTGTCTTAAGAGTATATATTTTGTGCGGTGCCCGGTGAATGATCCTGGGATTCGCTTTTTTGTGGAGTTCTAGTGTGATAGGGTAATGGTCACTACCCCATGAGTCCTTCCCAACGCACCAGTTGTACGCTGGGTAGGATCGGCTGTCTGTTATTGAGATATCTATAGCCGATTCCGTAGTAAATTGTCTTGAGCGGAAGGTTGTATCTCCTTGGTTGATGACACAATTATCAGTACTTTCTATGGCGCGAAAAAGTTTATCTCCCTCCAAACAAGCGCGAGGGCTGCCCCAGGGGGGGTGGTGGGCATTAAATTCCCCTGCTAATAGAAACCTATCTTGGAATTGGTTTAGGAAGCGCAGCCATTTATCGTTTGAAATGTGTTTATTGGGGATGCCTGTATCTTGTTGCCAATAGTAGCTTTCCCCTCTACTAAGTGCAGGGTCAATGCGCATAGTTCAGTGCTCCCATCGCAGTCGTATAGGGCAGGTCGTTTCTCATATTTGAGAAAATTGTTAATGAAGATGGCAGTACCACCTCCAGCATGATGTGTTCTATCTTTGCAAATAACGTCAAATCCTTTTATATAGACTTTGTCCTTTGTGTCAGCCATTCGTTTAATAGAATGTTAAAATGTTGTGCTCTAAATTGAAGTTCATGTAGCTTGTTTTTGAGACTTTGGCAATTCCATTGAAGTATTTGGAGCACGTTGGGGTTCTTGGCCATTTGAGAATTGAATATGTAGGTCGATTGCTTTCCAGATTCTGTTCCATAGAGCATTTGAGTTTGGGTCTGCTTTTAAGATCGATTCCAGTCTTTGTAGGTGAACAGAATGGATGTTGCTCATTAGCAAGTTGGTCTCAGTAAGGTAGGAGTCGTGTGCAGAATACGGTCCTTGACCGGCCGAGCTTGCACGGCTTCACTGTATTTGTGATTTTTCTGTTCAGGGGGCAAAGGGAATTTACTTGGAGTAGGAGAATGTTGCAATGGTGGGAAGTTGCTGAATGTTATAGATGGTGAGTGGAACAAGGAATTATGTTGCATGTTAGAGAATTGTTTTTGTGCTATCGCAAAGGGTACATTTTCATGAGCCATAATTCTGCAGATTTCTTTGGATTCCCTAAATTTGGGACATTGTCTGTTGAGGGTAGGGTGGTCACCTTTGCAGTTAATGCACATCAGGGTTGTAGCACATGTTTTGCTTTCTGGGTGCTTGTCATGGGCACAAATCAGGCATTTCTCAATTGCTTTGCAAACTTTACTAATATGGCCGAATCTGCCACATTTAAAGCACTGTCAAACCTGTGGGATGAAGGGTTCCAAATCCAGTATTTTCGCCAAATATAAACGAATTTTGGTAATTGTGTACTTCTGACAACAACACTGACAGTGTGGGTGTCGGCCCATTCAGTGTGTCCATCCTTCTGTATTCGTCGATTTAGCCTGGATATTTCTGACACGTTCAGTCCGGGATTTGATTTGTTGAGTTCTTCCTTAATTTCCGCAACGGAGCAGTCTAGGGGGATGCCTCTAATGATGCCTTTCCTAAAACCTTTCATCCAAGGCAACCAAATCATCAAACCGTGTTGTTTCGGGTAGGGGGAGGTTAAGGCGTAGTTAGCAGTGTCTCGTGTATTGAAAGTGATTTCCCACGTGTTTCTCGTAAGAGGGGTCACTAATCGTATTTTACGATAGATTTCTCTAGCATTCGACATACTTCGAGTACCATTAGCGGTCTGGTATTATTTTCACGGTTTCCTCTGAGGTGGAGAACAAAGGGCCCTGCATCCTCTTGGGTGAAGGTGAGGGCTGCGGTTGCGTTATCGGAGCTGTTACCTGTTGTCGTGGCCGGTGGCGCAGCAATGTTGTCTGTAGTGGGCGGTTGTGGGTTTCCAACTGTCCGTTTCTTGTTTGATAGGGCATTACTTGGTGGGCTCCTACTGCGTCGTCTCAGCTTTGTCTTCACCATCGTAGTTGCATCATAGTCCATCAAGTTTACGTCTTTATCCAGACCACTCATCTAGGGTGGGCCCTGGGCCGCAGAGCAGCAAGTAGAGGTTATGTTTTTCCTATAACTGTGTGTTGGATGTACTCACTCTGATTAACGATTTACGACACAAATATCACAGTAAACCAATGACCATGTCACTTAAAATGTTGAACCATAAAAACAATTCGCAATGTAGAAGTTTTGTTCGGAGCTAACAATTTCGTTCACTCAGCTCTACCTCTCTAAAATTTGAATATCCTATTGAACTCGTTCACCGCATACCATATGATGCTGCCATCTGTCGACAACAGAAGGTACTTTCCCATTAACCCGTGTGTTGTTGGATTGGTTAGTTGTTAATGATGAAAAACTGCCTAATTGAGTCTGGCCCACCCTGTACAATGAAGCTCATATTTGAGGTTGCTTTGGAGAGCAGTGGATTTGAACACTAAACCAAAGAAAATCTTATATGTAGAAAATCTAACAGAAAGATCATTGATTTGGGATCCTTTAAATTAAACATTTAACAAGAGAAAATGCTAAATCAATGAAAATTAAACGAGACTTCCATTATGTTAGGTAATAAAACCAATCCAACACAGAGCACAGAACACAACAGAAAGAGTTGCAGTTTTAATTACCATACTGAACATGATCATTGACATAATGGTCACACTCATTTAGAGAAGACTTTGATTCTTTATTGGACTCTGAATGTACCTAGAAAGAAGTATAATATAAATTCCATGACAGTACAGTAAATTCTCCCAAGATTTGACTGTTATCAGGTGCTCAGTACCTGACATGTGGCACAGGAAGGGTGGCACCCCTCTCTAACAGCATTCTGATAATTTCAAAGTGATCCAGATGTGCTGCTAGGATCAATGGAGTAATGTCACAACTGAAACTGCGACTCTCTGATGGCAAGGACTCCCAACTCTACGAACACATGTAACTGAAAATAATATGTGCAATCTCAACATTTTTAAGATGAAAAAAGAATTTCTGTACCTGTTGGTAGTGTGGAAATGTTCAGTACACAGTTCTATGACTGAAGAACTAGGACATAATTTTTTGGTGGTCCATGGCAAATTTCAAGTGAACTTTGAGTCAATTTCTCTATGCCCCATGCACGTTATATGTCCTGACCATCTCATCTTCCATCAACATCCATTCCAATAACATTTGATAAGGAATACAATTTATGAAGTCTCCATTATGAAGTTTACTCCAGCCACCTCTTACTACTGCCCTCTTGAATCCAAATAATCTCCTCAACATCCTGTTCCTAATAATCCTCAGTCCATATTCTTCCCGAGATTTAGAGCAATGCATGAAAGAAACAGTATGGATAAAATCCAGTATACAATTCTTGTAAAGTAGGGCTTATATTAAACAAATACAAATCAATATTATGTTCACCCATCAACTTTAGTGTAGTTCCCCAGTACCATATTTCTTCTACATCCATCCACTAATTTCAGATATGATATACTTACTATTAGACACAACCCCCGAAGAGTTATTTATTTTATGCTGTTTGTATAAAGAGTTCAAAACAGTGGGAAGCTCTTACATATTGTTGTCCTTCTGCTGTTACTGCAGCTTCATGGTCAAGAAGTAGTTCCACTGCTTCCACAAACTCCTCTGAAATTGCATGCAGCAGGGCATCCTGCGCCTGTACACCTAACGATATGAGTAATGTCACCATTGGCAGGTCCTCATTAATAATTGCAAGTACAAGAGCAGTTCGTCCCATTGGATCTATACAGTCCTTGTCCACAGAACCTGAATCAATAAGCCTGAAAGAAACCAGTGCTCAGATATAAATTAAAGAATTTTCAGAATTGAAATGTACAAAATCTAGCCTCTTCTTCCAATGTGAAATTTTGACATCTCACATTTTTGCTAAAAATTCAGTAGGTACAGTTTAGTACTGAAGTGTTCAGCTTGTATTCAGGAGGGATGTGGCTTGACTCTTAGCCAGTCCTGGCTAAGTAAGAGCTCCTCAGTCTTTGTAGGAAAGTAAATGCAGTAATCTTTAAAATATTAATAATGTTACCTTTCATTGCATTCCCATTCAAACACAGTTCTTGTAGTGCTCTAACCACAAGACAAGAACTTACATGCCTTCAATAGTTAACCTTAGCAAATGTGATGGATATTTGGATCTGAGTTTATTAACAACGCTGTATCAGATGCAGAGAATTATAGTCAAATGAAACAATAACATTATGAATGGAAGAGAACTGGAAGTCGTTGGATTATCTGAAAGTTCTATCCTGGAATTAATATGGGCAGACTGAGGAAAATCATGAAGTGCTATAAGAAGATGCAGAAACATGGCCAAGGCTCAAAACGTTGTGTTATATAATTTGGGTAAATGATTGAATGCATGTAGGAAAATCTGGTGTAACTTCAAAACCATGACTAAACATAAGAAGTAGCCAGGCAGTGAATCAACTATTTTTTTTTTCATTTCATGCATCCTGCTGTGCTACTCATACATCACCAAATCAGTCATTGTTTACATTCCCTACAAAACGGACAATACTTTGTAAGATGAGGCACCAACTAAATAATCAACATTAATATTACTACATCTACATCATGAGCCTCGAAAACAATTTATTATATATATATACAAAATATAGAATACTCCAATTTGTCTGTGGGAACACAACAAAATCACAAAAACCAATGACTGACGCGATGATGTAAAATATCACTCGAAGAATTTTATTCTTGTTTTATACTATAACTTTTGTTTTATATAATCTAATTTATTGTATTTTTATGCCAAGTATTTTAATATAATTAATATTATTGTATCCAGTTTTATTAGTACTGAAGTTCATTGGTTGTATATACATATGTTGGCCATGTATTTGTTTGATGATGGCTTTTAATAGCCAAAACATGTAGCAGAGCCAAACTAGGCACTGATCTTAATATTGTTGTGTTGTGATGGTTTTAATAAAGAAATTATAAACCAACTATTTGTTTATTTATTTATGAGTATGTTATGTCACATCCCACATTCTGTTTTCAGACTCATGGAGATAGAGACTGTTGGATAACAGAATGATTACTGATGATGAATATAGAAGGATTATAAAGGAGGAAGTGATTCTGTTATTCTAAAATTTATATGGAGGAATTTAGAAAATCCAGAATATCTGAGCTTGTCTAACATACTCTTATTTGAATTCAGAGACTGCTTAATGGGAAGAAAATATGTATGCAACATTGAGCAAGATGCTTACTGTCACTAGGATGGTACCATCAGCAGTACTTTGAGAATATGTCAAACTATCTGCATTACAAATTCAGCATGTGGCCTCATTGGTTTATAGCTATGTTATTACCATGCTTTGTTACATACCGTTTTGTAGTCCTAATATCACCTCTTTGTACAGCCAGAAGAAAATTTCTTTCATCTATGGAGAGCCGAGTCCTCACACGCTTCCTAAGGAATGTTTTCTGAGTGTTATTGGCATTCTGACCCTGAAAAGATAAACACATCCCTACAGTTGCATGCCTTCTTAACCTTGACACTAGATGGAGGTGAGTTATCAGTTTAATGATGCACCTTCTTTATTCCCAAGGAAAGATCCCACAGTGCCCAAGGAACAGGAAGATGGATGGGCCCCAAAGCTCCTCTAAACTTGATGGAGATGACAGAAATCGTCCTTGCTGGAAATAGGACTGCAATTCCAACCCACAGCGTAGTTGTTATACCATCTGTGCCATCCCAGCTCTGCAATTATAAATATTAGAATTGCTTGTAACTGTAGTAAATTTACCATGAAGATGTCTCTGTACTGCATATTCTAGATCACATAGAAACATTTAAATTATCAGTTCCATAAATTAGAACAGGATGCATGCCTGGACAGAAAGGAAGTGAGTAGGAAGTGACATGCTGATAATGAGTTTCATAGGATTCTGAGTATAGATATTAGTCAGAATTTTTAAAAGCATATTGATTTCATTCAAGCTAGCTCTCATGACGAGAAGGTATACAAGGGGTGTAAAAATAAAGCTCAATATATTTTTTTATGCACCAGATAGATGTGAGTGACAAAATTTTGGCATCTGCTACTTTAACTTTGGGGTGAGGACTTCCCAACCCAAATGTGATAATAATGAAAATGTGAATAAATGAAATGAAATGGAGAAATAAATCACTATGCTCCCACAGGGAATTAAAACCAGTGTCTTTGGCCCTGACCTAACTATTATATTTCATGTCACTTTTAGTTTAAGATAACAAATTCATAATGCACTTTTGATAAAGAAACATCCTGATGCTTACTGTGGAAGTGTGAACAACATGTGATGGTAATCTATGAATATTACTGCCAACACAACAATAAATGAAAGAGTTCATTTTCAAATAAAGATGAACATGTATTTATTTGTGTATGAATAGATTTTATGCTACATGCTTTGAGCTATATATAGGTCTCAATTGGCATTCATATATAAACTGTAAATCAAGTTATGTTATATAGGTCGAAACATTGTGGCATAAAATCTATGCATAAATACACCTTTGTCTTTGATTGAAAACAATCTCTTTCAGTTATTGTTGTGTCGACGATCATATTCATAGATTCTATTCACACAACAGGATGCAATCCATAAAGTTTGTGTTATGGTAATTTACTAGTGAAGTAAATTTAAACTGTGTAATTAAAATAACAACTGTGAAATAATTTTAAACCTGAAGAAAAGCCGTAAATGTGTCACAGAACTGTACTGCGGAAGAGAAACAAAAAAACATGGAGGTAAGTGATTATATAGTCTTAACCTTGACACTAAACAGAGACAAACGGTCAACTCCATATTCTAGATACCCTTGCCATTATTTAAGAAATCTAAATATCCACTGTACATAAATTTGATTCTGACCTGGTCTTGCAATAAGTATAATTAAGATTATTGTGGTGTGTACCATGAACATAAACGTTCCTTACTGTCAGCAAAACTCACCTGAATTCTCTCTTCTCCTTGCAATTCTGCACCCTCATTCAAAGATGTGGGAGACATCTGTAGAGAATGGTGAACGTCAGGCTGAGCATTAAAAGCACTCTGGTTTGCAGATACATTTCCTTTTCCATCTGTGCACATACATATACAGTCTTTACAAAAAGGAACACCATGTTTTTTTAGAAATAAAAAAATATCTGAATAAGGATATATGAGAATATATCAGAAGAAGTGACCAAGCAAGTAAACCCCTCTTAACATTACATAATCTCTATAAAAATTTTCACACAATTCATATGCTATGTTAACCAGCTCCAACATAAATCAGATGAAAATTAAGCTAACTATCCGAACTCAATGAAATTAAATAATTTACTGAACTGGAATTCATTTCGAAAAATACCGTCCATATATACATACACAAAGGTAATTATCACTTCATTATTACAACAAGACTTCGTCACCAAATAGAGGAAGTCAAAATATTGTGCAAGCAAAAGTGGCATAAGCAACTGGTCATGCTATTATAAAGGTACTTACTTATTCATGGAGCTGAGCCCTTCTGGAGGAGTCGCCAATTCTGCAGCTATTCAAGAATTTCCCAGCATTTTATGGAACCCAAAGGTTCATTACCATGTTCACAAGAGCCTTCCACTGGTCCCTATCCTGAGCCAGATCTATCCAATCCATACCATACCATCCTATCCCTCTAAGATCCCTTCTAATATTGTTCACCCACCTATGCCTTGGTCTTCCCTGTGGTCTCTTTCCTTTTGGCTTTCCCATCAATATCCTCTACGCATTCCTCGTCTCCCCAATTCATACTACATGACCTGCCCACCTCATCCTCCTTGAGGAGGAGCTCTTTCCTATTAAGCTTTTGTTCAATAACACATATTTTATGACAGGCTTTTGATGAGATTTCAAACACATTTAACAAGGCTGGTATCAAATACATGTAACATATGTGAAAGTATTCAGAGAGTCCGGACATGGTTAAGAATGCTAAATAACATATTTTTCGCATAATTTAACGATGACTTCCAAATAATTATTACACAGTATTATTCAGTTTCAAATTATAAAGCAAACTCGAATAGCTATCTGCGTATTCAAATTATCGTGTAATATAAGACACATTAATTCTCTGAAGCATAAATTAGACATAAAAATTACATTTTATTTCATAGATAGCATGACATCCCATGTGAATAGACAGTGTCACGTAACTTCGAACAAGGCCCCGCATTCCTAGTCAAATCCCTCTCATAGCTTGTGGTGGGAAGAGTTTCGTAACACTCCTTCCACTTTCACTGACCCCTCATGTTTCATTGAAACTACCCTATTCTCTTTTCGAAGAACATATTACAATAATACAAATATACTGTCACTCGTCATGCAAAGAAAAATACCTACGATTTAGCGCACAAGGAAACTGACGGTTTTAAGCAGATGATAGAAAAACCGCAAGTATAACCTGTTTCGAGGGTGTCTTACAAACAACTGGCCGCCTGCCACTTCTCACACCCTCGAACCCACCACCCCTTGTCTGAAATTTTTCTTCTGCTCATTCAAGGTTACTCTTGGCCTTATTCGAAGTTATGTGACACTTGCTTTAAGTGGGTCCCTTGTCACCACGGCATGGCGCGTCCTCAGGTTGCGGGATGGAGGGTAGTTGCGAATATATTAAAAAGGCAGTCGCGTCCAGCCGACAGGGGGTGGTATTCCAGATAGGGGTTTGGAATTTGAGCTAATAACGCCTCATTGTAAAAATTAGCTTCTTACGAAATGTCACAAAGGATTTCGGACTTGGACTGATTCCTTGGATAAACGACCTAAACTAAGAAAAATGGAATGGAATGTAAGAAGTCTGTATAGGACGGGTTTGCTCATGACAGATGTGAAAGTAATATCAAAATATAAGTTCGGTTTAGCGGGAGTACAGGAGGTCAGATGGGAAGGAGGTGGCAGCGAATTAGCATGCGAACACACATTTTTCTATGGAAAGGGAATGAGAATAAGCAATTAGGTATACGTTTTTTTTACTCAAGAGAATCATATCAGCAGTCAAAAGGGTAGAGTTTGTTAGTGATAGGATGTCGCACATAATACTAGGAGATCCCTGGTGTGAGATTGACGTTAAAGAAATGTACTGATGTATTTTACTTTCGGCTAGGGGGCAGAGAACAGCAACTTTATTACGCAAAAACGAAATACGGAACGTATTATGGTCTCTAATATTTGTAACTGGAACTGTGATACTAACAGCTTCTAAAAGCGAAAAACATGTAATATAATCCTTTTAAAAGTTGGTTATAAATAATGCCCAGCAACACAAAACAAAATAAGATAAAACAACAACATATAATACATATTAAAGTATATACTGAAAATAAATGTTTTCAATTTCTTACTTCTGTGACACCGGCATTGTGAAACTGTATTAGCAGATTTCCTTTTGGCGTGATGTAGACACACATACCATCGTTGAATATGAATTTACTTATTATTACCATAGAGTACAGTTAAACAACAAAAATAATTAGCACAAGAATGGAAAAAAATTGTGCATTATTTTTGATTTGATGTTTTTGTGAAATGGGAGTAGACATTTATGCACGAAGTTTCATCTCCATGTTAAACATATTATTTGTGCATATGAATGTTATTCTTACTACAATGAATCAAATTAAAATATATAGAATCCTTTCAAGCCCAAAATTTTTGAGGTGATTATGAACTGTTATCTAAACCACATTTCTTTTATGATATGTTCTGCAATTTTCAGTTTAGCCCAAAGATTGTCTGTAGAATGTCAGGGAGTTCTAAGTGTATTGTGATGGTGTTACAGTTTTTGTATTGCTTCTTGCAGTATATATGAAGAAGAGAACAAAAACTTGCAGTGCTTCTGGGTCCTTGTCATTCAGTAGACAGAAAGAAGTAAAATTCTTCAACTTTCACAAGGATGCAGGACGGTATGTATCTTTTAATTCGTGGTGTAATGGCTTTATTACATGTTGCATAATTCAACAAAGAAATAAGTTTAGCTTCTGTCTGTGTTCAGTTTATTCAACAACAAAATTTAGCACAAGCACCATGTTTGTAATGTTTACAGATGAATTATTTTGAGGTTTCAAGACAATTTCTACTTTTAGAGGGCTGTGGTATGGGCAGGAAAAGTTGCAATATCCTGCACTATTGATTCTGCTAGACTGCTGCACAAGAAGCATTCGTGCAGCAGACATTTCCTGGAAAGTGGTTTCACTACAGGAAAAAATATAATCAGATGTACAAAATTTCATAATGGCAGTCTCTTGTGTAAAGTAACGTGTTATTTTCAAATCTGAAAAAGTATGGTAGTCCATCATGTAAGGAAGCCCACTAATTTCCTTTTTAGTGTTCTTTCAGGAGGGTGTTGTGGTGAATACCTGGCAACATCTGTTTGATCATCCCCTTGTGAACACATTTGGAGCCATTCATTCGTACTCTGGTTCGAACAATAACCCAGCTGTTGGACATGTTGTAGATGCCCTGAAGACTAGCATCATCAATGCACTTGCACTGGGTGAAACTAATTGTATGGATGATGACGCTACTCTTCTGGATAACCTACAGTCAATGCTCAGGGAACCAAATCTGTCCACACATCATGGCAAGGAAACACCTGATAATGTTTCAGAGTTTCTATGTTACTCATCAAGTACAGAAGGACGTGGGTGCTGCAGTACATACTGGTGACATGGAAGTGTTCTCAGTGGCCAATGTCAGTGGTACTGCTGCCAGACCGGTGCTTCATGGTGTCAGCTGCGATGCATGCAAGATGCTGTTGCCTTTACTGTTATAAGGATGGTCGAATTTAGTGAAAGTTAGTGAAATGCTGCACGGCCCTTACATGATTAAGTTTTATCCAGTTGTTTGCTGTCCACCTGGCTTGGTGCCTGCTTCCTCTCCCTCTCCTCAATTTTGTGCATCTTTCTCCTCGTATTCCTCTTCCTCATACAAATACAGTGCCTCCTGGAGCCATTCCAATATTGAAAGTTGAATTAACCACCTCTGTTTTGGTTTTCCAACATTTATCCTCAACCTAATTTATAATAATTTGCTCTCTTACAGAGTTTTGTCCAGTCTTATTGAGTGGTTTCTCAAGTGTTGTCTGTATCTTTTGATATCTCCCATGATGCTGGTTTCACAAAGTTGACTCCATGTAGTACTATTCACTGTGTGGTTCCTTCTAGAAAAGCCTACTACAGATTTGTTAGAAACCTTATTTGTTTAACCTTCAGTCCTTCATTGCCTGCCTTTTGCGGGGGGGGGGGTTGCTAAATCCATATTTTGTATCGAGACAGTACTGGTTTCCTATGTGCAATGAATTATGCTTGGGTTAGGACTCCAGAAATGTGCTTCCCCTCTCACCACAAATGAGTTAATGAAGATTACTGACTTGTGCAATTCTATCCTTCGTCTGAATATATTAAATATTAAATGAGAATGATTTATTGCCATGTGTAATATGCAGAAACAGATGAATATATTTCGGCACCCTTATCATAAGCTCTGACATGGAGTCTTTCAGTATCCCACATGAAATATACTGCAAGACTACAGTCAGATGGAACTTGCGAAGTTGCTGACATGCCATATTACACAGGAGAGGGTTATTCTTCATGCAGGATTAGTAATTGTATGTTTGTCTTTCAGTGCACTGCTTACCAGAGCAAGAGATGAAATACTTAGATTTCAGAATGAACTCAGAGTAGGGGAACTGCATAACTGAATATGAGAGTGAACCACATTCCCAGAGAGAGCATGTGAAGGGAGAAATCATGAGTGCCTTGCAGAAAGAGTTATATGTCCAGAGAGGAGGAGGCAAAAGATGCTGTTCCAAAGGATGCTGCCATGATAAAGGTGAGGCTTGGCTACACACAGTAAACATGCCCTTCCCTCTCGTGTCATCAGAACCACAGATCTGTGGGCTTGACAGTAAAGCCAAACACTAGCCTGCTCTGTCCAGTTCACATCCATTTATTCCATATACTTGAGATACATTTTATTTCTTTTTTTTCATATGGTGTTACTCTAGGAATAAGAATTTTAAGCACTTGTAGCTAAATGCCATAGCACCACGTGCCAGATGCAAGGATTTTATTTTGTAATTTTATAAAATTGCTTCCAGACAGTATAATCAGAGA